AAAATGTCTGTGTCTTCAAAGGCTTCTGATTGGAACTGAAATCGCTAATACTAAGCTATCATGAAAGGGTTCGTTGTAGCTGGATGACACGCTGTATACCTGCAAATCAGAAAACTTCCTCTCAACACTTACTTTGCAAATTTGAAGAGACGTCTTGAGTCTCCCAACATTTATTTTCCACATTAGTCATAAATTAAGGATTTGTGTGTAAGTAAACGCACACCATACGTTTGTAGGGGCTGTCCAAGTACATCTCTGATTTTGTCAGGAAAATGCACATGTGCAGTAACACTTTGCAGAGTTTTATGATTCATGAAGGAAATGTATGTTTATTATTAAGAGTATTTGAGTACATTTAATAACGCATATGCCTTTCACTCACAAATCTTAGAATGGCAAGCGTAGGCATACACCAGCTTCCTAGAACTGGAGACTGGTCTTCTTAGAAGCCAGTATAGAAAATTCCATTGATCTCAGTATTTTTTGTGGTCAGCTTGAAGTGTATTTAGGATTTATTGCTAAATACATAGAGAAAATGTTCAGATTCATAGCAGGAAACAAAGCAAAAGGAATAAATATGAGCAAGCCTACCAGAAAAAGTAATAATAAACGAGGTGCTCGAACAGGAAAATAAACAGAATACAGATATGTGTGTATTTTTTCAAATATCTTTGTAAAAAGTTTTCAAGGGGTGACACAGGATAAGAGAATTTCAGATAGAATTACCTTTCTTTATACTGAAACAAAACCACGCTTACCTTATACATTAGTACTTTGAGTAGAACAAGTTTAAATAGCAACGTGAATTCTGTTCTTGAATATTCTTTTGAGTTTAGAATTACACAGGCAATGTATCTGCAGCATGTCCTCCTGAATGGCTGAGCTAGAAGTCTTCTGGAAGCCTGCCATGCCTGCTCTTCCTAATCGAATACTTATTTTTCATTTCAGGAGTGATCTCACGTTTACTGTGGTGCAGGCAGGTACGAGGCAGGTCATCCGCCATGGCTGTGAGACTTTCTCTCTTTGGGTGCCCAGGCCTGGTCCAAAACTCACCGACTGAACCGGAGATACTCCTCCCTGCCCCCGGCTCAACTCCACACGTCTTTGGATGAGGCTCTACCTGAGACAGATTTCCTGCCACTCTACTCATCAGTGACAGGTTAGTACTTACGCAGCAGTGTCTTCATTTTGGCTGGGTCCTCCTACGTGGGGCAGGAGAGGCACACAGTCTGTGCACAATTCATTCCACAAAATATTCACAACACCCAGCTGCACACCAGCGTCTAGGCTGGATTTGATGAAAATGGTGCTTGAGTGTGGGCTTACTCTTCTAGGCATTGGGGAAATACCTTCTCTTTTATAAACAATCACGTAAATAAACAGAGCACGTGCCAATACCGAATCCTTAAGGTAAGCTGTGTGCTCCAGTCACCACGCATCGCAAGCGCCATCCGCAGCACGTACGACAGTCACCATGCGGGTGTTACATCCGTGTCACCCCCACTCTCGCCACTGTACTACATGCAGTGCCGTTGCCAACACAGTGTCTTCTGGTAGCTAATCTCCTTCATGGGATTCCGGGGGACTGAAGCAGGATTTTGACATGCTAAGCTCTAAAATACCAGTTGCAACTTCCCAAAGATAGAAATGGTGTTGCAGAATGCATCAGTTACACTGACACTCTGCCACCCCCTGCAAAACAGCCCCTAAAATAAACTCGAGTGGCAGCTCCAAAATCCTTTTTTATACTGGCCACCATACTGTGTTGCAGTCAGTGAATCATTTATTATGAAGAATTTGAGTTTTTCCACTTTCCCAGACACAGATTTTCAAGATTACTTGTGAATTTTTAATGTTATTTTTGTTTGATGGCTAAGTCCTTCACACCAGCATCTTCTTAGATGTACTGTCCACATGGTACATTCCTCTCCTGTAACTGCATTCAGGTAATGGTATGTGCAGCATGAACGTGCAGAAATGGTATGTGCAAAGTCATTTGCTAAAATAGACTAAGTGAACATGTATCATGTTGAAAGGCTTGGGGAAAAAAGCTTAAAAGTGAGAACAAATGTTAAGGGGTTTTAGTTGATAGATTTGCCCAGTTCTAGTGTTAATGTGCAACAAAATAAAAATGTACTGAACAAGGGTGCGTGCCTCTTGAAGTTGCAAGACAGACCTAATGTAGATCAATAAACTACAGATATGACAATAACCATGTCGCTAATACAAAATCCCAAGGAGTGTTAACTAAATTTTCAGTGTGCCCTAGACAAACTACAGGCGCTAAGGCTCACAAGCCAGCACCCAACCCAGCTGTTTAACCACAGCAGTTACCCCCGATGACTTCAGTAGGGTACTGAGGTGTTTAATGTGTTTAACACTGTGGACTTAGGTCTAATCCTTCCTGTGACTGAACTCACGGCGCTCATGCTTAGTTCCAGTACTAATTTTTTTTCCTTCTCCCCCTCCTTTCTGGCTTCAGCCTGCTCCTCTGGTCATGCACCAGGTTGTCAATGTCCCTGCTATATCTTTAACAAGGGATTCGTTCGTTGTGAGAGGCACAAAAAATAATGATGGACATTAAAACTTAATTTATGGAAAAAGGTAGAGCATTCATAACATTATACAGCTATACAGCTCCCCTGTTCCTGACAGATCCCATAGTGCGTGAGGAATGGTACACCTACTGCAGCATGTCAGAGCTCAGCTGCAGATGTGGAGGTAGGCAGACAGGCACAAAACACATCAGCACTGGAGATAATGGCCAAGCAGACACAGCACAGGAGAAGCAAAGCTGGTTTTGACAAGAGTCTTGGCCCAAAGCCTGTTCTTACCAAAAAGGGAAAAAAGAGCCAACAGCTAATGTCAGGATTGTAAAGAGGGAACTCCTGGAGACTCCAAGATCTGTATCAGTTACTGTGTCACATAATTTCCTTTGAATTATGAAATTTGCTGATTGTACATACATTTTGGCTTTGATGTAATTTTTACTCATTAAATTATCCAGGGTCTAAGACACATTTTTTTTTTTTTCAAAATCAGAGCAAGAGATTAAAGAAAACACCAGCCAAAGGCACAGAAGTTTGGACATTCATCTAGGAGGTGTTGGAATTAGGCTCAAATCCTTGCTCCTAAGCAGGCAGGAAAAGCTGTGCGATAACCTGGCGTGTAGGAACCATAAAGGGAGAGTGGTTGGACAAATTCTCTCACCTGAACGTGACTGAGCACAAGTGTAAACGAGGATGTCTCACGAATTCCTGGTAAACACACTAACCCTCTGATTATTCATTATTCTCTAGTTTTTTTCAAAAATCTTCTTTAAAGCAAATGCTTGTTCCAAACTTGAACATCAACAACAGAACATAAGAAACTTCATCCACTATACAAAATGGAATTCTTCTATACCGTGATAATCACCAGCTTTCTTGAAGGCCTTAGGAGACACCAGTCTATGTTGCCACCTTACTTTTACCATCTGCCCCTATTTTTCTGGTAGTTTTACGCCCAAAACATTTGAAGTGAATTTTATGAAGATCTGTTACATACTCTCAGGTTCTGTGTTGGCAGTGCCACGGGTAATATAAATATAAACCCATCTTTCAATTAAGAAAAAACAACAACAACTTTAAACATTCTCAAAACAATGCAATATGTTTTGTCTAGGAAAACCTTTCTAAGCAAAAAAGATCACTTCTGATGAGTGTTTTAATGCTTTATGGAGATCTGAGAAACAAACTAGTTCCCTTCGCTGCAAAGTGCAGGCAGTATATTTTCATGTAGGTCCCTCTATTAGCAGTGGGCCTGTCGTCTTTTCTTCTTACCTCACAGGACTGAAATTTTGAATTATTCCAGAAAGATAAGTAGCAGTCCTGAGGGTTTACATATATATATGTATTGCTTAGATTAGATTGCCCTGAGCTAGATCACGGAACTTTCCTGGAGCAGATGTTTGATGGGCAGAACATCTACAGTTCAATCGCTCTTAGAGGACAGGACCTGGAGCCAGAGGTCAGTACACGCCGTAGCTCTCTGCCACAATTTACTGAGAAAAGCTCATAATCCCAGGGAAAACTCAAAGCA